TTTAACATTTACTCATTTTTGAGAGACAGGGTGCGAACAGGGAGAGAGAGCGTGAGAGAGAGAGGGAGACACAGAATCTGAAGCAGGCTCCAGGCTCCTAGCTGTTAGCACAGAACCTGAAGTGGGGCTCAAACCCACGAATCGTGAGACCATGACCTGAGCCAAAATCGGACACTCAACTGACTGAGCCACCCAGGCGCCCCAAGCGTCTGACTTTTTTTTTTTAATTTTTATTTTTTATCATTTATTTATTTTTGAGACAGAGGGAGACAGGGCATGAATGGCGGAGGGTCAGAGAGAGGGAGACACAGAATCTGAAACAGGCTCCAGGCTCTGAGCTGTCAGCACAGCTGACAGTGTGTCGAACTCACGGACTGCGAGATCATGACCTGAGCCCAAGTCGGCCGCTCAACCGACTGAGCCACCCAGGCGCCCCAAGCGTCTGACTCTTGACTTTGGCTCAGGTCATGGTCTCACGGTCATGGGATTGAACCCTGCATTGGGCTCTGCACTGAGCGTGGAGGCTTCTTGGGATTCTCTCTCTCCCTCTTTCTCTCTCTCTCTTTCTCTCTCTCTCTCTCTCTCCCTCTGCCCCTCTCCTGCTCGTGCACTCTCCCTGCAAATAAATACACATTGAAAAATAAATAAATAAAATCCGGTTATTTGGCCTTTTGCTATTGAGTTGTAAGAGTTCCTTATGTGTTTTGGATGTTAACCCCTCATCAGATAAATGGCCTGCAAATAGTTTCTCCTGTTCTCTGTGTTGACGTTGTACTCTGTTGTGGTCCTTCGCTGTGCAGACGCTTTTTAGTTGGACGTAGTCCCACTTCTCTATTTTTGCTTTCATCGCTTGTGCTTTTGTTGTCATATGCATATGTACCTGTTTTCCACTTGCCTCCTTCCTGCTATTTAAGCTCCGTGGAAGCAGACAGTTGTCTTGTTCACTGCTGTATCCCCAGTTCCCGCTACAGAGAAGAGTTCAATAAATAATTATAGACTCTCTTGGAACTCAGACTTCTTGGTTCATTCACCAGTTTATTAATACGCTCAACACATATTTACCGCACGTCGGCCGTGTGCCTTCGCCCTGGATTTATGGCGTGAACTCAGGCGTGATCCCCTGCCCCTCCCGTTACTTACTGTCTTGTGGGAAGGATCAGGAGTGAGTAGGGATGGGTTATGGGTTTCACAAAAGGGGAAAAGTCCAGGGGGCTGTGAGCGAGCAGAGTCTAGGCAGTGCAGTTTAACCATAACGATAGCTTACATCTACCAGGTACTTTCCGTGTGGACTTCCTATGCTTAGGCCTTTATTGCATCACCTTATTTAATACTTTTCACAGATCTGGGACAGTGAGTGATAATCTATTATTATGCCCATTATATAGATGAGACTCAGAGAGGTCGAATAACCTGCCCGAGGTCCCATAGTTAGGGGGAATATGAACTCTGAGGCCCAGCTCCTCTTCTGAGTGCAAAATCCACATACTTTGTCGCTATTCTGTATTTCTCCTGTACTCACCGCTCCCCCATCACCCCTCCCCGTACCAGTCATGTATGTGTTCCTTCTGTGGGTGAGGCTTGCCCTGTTTGGGAACAACCCTTTCCCCTCCATTTAAACACAGGGGATCTTGGGGCGCCTGGGTGGCTCAGTCGCTTAAGCGGCCGACTTCAGCTCAAGTCATGACCTCGCGGTCCGTGAGTTCGAGCCCCGCGTCGGGCTCTGTGCTGACCGCTCAGAGCCTGGAGCCTGCTTCGGATTCTGTGTCTCCCTCTCTCTCTGACCCTCCCCCATTCATGCTCTGTCTCTCTCTGTCTCAAAAATAAAGAAACGTTAAAAAAAAATAAAAAAATAAATAAACACAGGGGACCCAGCTCTGCATAATGAAACTGGTTTTTACTTTACAGTTAAGTGAGTGTTTGTCCTGGTTTTGGAATCAAGGACCTCTACGGGAAGCCGGTGAAAGCTTCAGATTCTCCCCAATATATGCACATGGGCAGACAGAAATGGCATCGTGCCTGTAACTCGGAGAGCTCCTGGGTTCCCTTAAGGCTGGTGGCTCTGTTGATAAAGGAGGCCGTGAGGCTTTGGGCTCAGGACGGGCTGGTTTGCATGTGGAAGGCAGGCTTGGAGGAGAGCGGTTCACTCCCTCTAGGAGTGAGCAAGACCCTGGGTGCCCGAGCATCGAGGACACCAAAAATAAGAAACCACAGTTAGCGTAAAGGACCACACCAGGATTGGGCACATGGGGAGCAGGAAGGGGTGATCGCGAATGCCGACGCTCTGCCCAGCTTGGCCCTTTCACGTTCTCTTCTGTCTCTACTCCCAAAGGGTGAAGCAGTCGGAGCTATTCGACAGATGGAAGAGCCTGCAGATGTGCAGATGGGCAATGAATATCTCTGAGGCCAACCAGTTCAAGTATCTGTGACTTGTCTGCCCTCCCCCGCCCTCCCGTTGGTGATGTTCTCCTTCCTGCTGCCCCGTCCTGCAAGGCCCGGCCCCGGGGTCGTCTTTTCCCCGGAGCTGGCCCTGGCTGGGCTTTGGGATCTGGGCAGCGGGGAGGTTCTGACTCAGTACACAGGCCGAGGTGGGCACCCTGCTGGCCACGACCCCTGCATTCCGGCCCCTAGGCCTTGCGGCAGCCCCGTGGGGGGGCTGGGGGGGTGCGGTGTGGCCACTACAGCTCCACCTTGGTTCCAGGTCTCCAGCAGGCTTGAGGGGTGAGGTGCACTGAGCCTTCTTCTATGGCCGCGCCCTGTCACCAGCCCCTCCGGGGGCAGCTTGCTTGCACCAGACGCCTGAGGCCTGCTGTAGATGAGCTTCTAATTACTCCCTGACCCAAAGCGATAGATTATAAACTCCCAGAGAGGCAAGAGCCATAGTTTAAGGTTCCCCTGTCTGCAAGAGATGAGCAGATTAACGTGAACCGTGGATTCATCGCTAAAATTCTGTGAGCTCACGGTGGGATTTTAGTGCAGACAGACCTTACCGAATGGGACTGATGGGACCCCAGGCATGTGGGTATAGACCGGATGCAGGCTAGTCAGGCTGAAGTTTGGATGCAGTCAGGAGCCATCAGCATGCAGGAATCCTACCCCGGGGGGGGGGGG